ACAACCATCACTATAAATTTGGTTTAAATTATAAAATTAAAATTATAACGAGTATGTTATTAAAAAATTATAACTAAATAATATAATTATAAGATTTCTATTACAATGTAAGAAAATGTATAAGCTATTAATAACAATAAATAAAATATTTTCTTAATTTAATGAGTTAAAGGAAAAATGTATAATATAATATTTTAGTGCACTTACAATAATAAAATGGTTCGGGTTATTAGTTAAAAGAAGATTATATATGTTGTACTAGTAAATGACTAAATACTAAATTGATTCATATATTATTTTTAAATATTTGAATAATTATTTTATTTTTTATTTCTTTTCAAAAAATATATATATTATTTATATTCATTCAATTTTATTAATATTTAGTTGATTTGTCATATAACATGTTATATATGACATATAAAATAATATTTTATTTTTATTACTTTAACATATTAAAAATAATAAGAAATAATTAGTTCGTTGATACTTACCTTCCGCGCTCACGTCTCCAGTCTTATTTTTTCCAACCAACATGTAACTGTAATTTAAGTATTTGAACTGATCGTTCTATTTTTTTTACTATTTTAATCTATCTACTTTTAAAAAAATGTGTGTTATTCATACCCATTAAATATTAGTAGTATAGTTACTAGATTTGTCATGTAATAATAGGTCGGAAAAGTAAATATTATTAATTATATAATTTTTTACATTAAATATTATGTGATATATGATATATAAAGTGATATTTTATTTTTATTACTTTAATATATCAAAAAATTAAAATAATAAAAAATAACTAGTCTGTTGACACTTACCTTTCGCGCTCACATGTTCTGTCTTATTTTCTCTAACCAACACGTAACTGTAATTTAAATATTTGAATTGATCGTTCTATTTTTCTTTTTTTACTATTTTAGTCTATCTACTTTTTAAAAAATTGTGTGTTGTTCATATCTGTTAAATGTTAATAGCATAGTTATTAGATTTGTCATATAATAGTAGGTCGGAAACATAAATATTATTAACTATATATTTTTTTACATTAAATACCATGTGATATATGACCGTAAAATAATATTTTATTTTTATTACTTTAATATATCAACAAATTAAAATAATAAAAAATAACTAGTCCATTGACACTTACCTTTCGCGCTCTAATCTCCTGTCTTATTTTTTTCAACCAACACATAACTGTAATTTAAATATTTAAATTGATCGTTCTATTTTTCTTTTTTACTATTTTAGTCTATCTACTTTTTTAAAAAATGTGTGTTATTCATATCCGTTAAATGTTAGTAGCATAGTTACTAGATTTGTCATATAATAATAGGTCGGAAACATAAATATTATTAACTATATAATTTTTTACATTAAATATCATGTGATATATGACATATAAAATAATATTTTACTTTTATTACTTTAATATATCAAAATTTTAAAAAATAAAATAATACAAAATAACTTGTCCGTTGATAATTACCTTCCGCGCTCACATCTCCTATCTTATTTTCCCCAACCAATATGTAACTGTAATTTAAATATTTTAATTGATCATCCTATTTTTCTTTTTTAATATTTTAATATGTCTATTTTAAAAAAATTGTATATTGTTCATATCCATTAAATGTTACTAGCATAGTGTAGCGCCCGGACCGAGGAAAAAAAAAAGCCACGTCGGCAGCAACGTCAGCAGGCCCGGTCAGCAGTCCTGGCCAACCGGGGCCTGCCACGTGGCAAGACCACGTCGCTCCTGAATGGGCCACGTTGTCGATCCGCGTGGGCGCGATCGGGCGGCCCAGATCAATCGCGTGATCGGACGGCCCAGATTTAATCGCACGGACGGCCCACATTTAATCAAAAACGGACGGCCCAGATTAAAACAAAATGGACGGCTGAGATCAAAGGGCAAGGGGTTATAAATAGAACCCCCACATCAGACCACAAACCCTAGCCGCCTGCCGCTCGCCGGAGAAGACGAACCAGAGGCCGACCGCCGCCACCCGCCGCCGCACCGGGGAAATTTTCGACCGCCGATCGAGGTAAATTTCATACCCCCGACTCGTTTTTCCACGCTGATTCCTCCTATGGCCAAATCGAAGCCAAAATCCCGGCCAAACGGCCGGAATACGCTGCCGAAGACCAGCGGCGCCGCCGCGCCCCCTCTCGGTTTTTGCCTCCGACGAGGCCCTTCCCGGCCTCCGTTTGATGCAATTTTTATATCACCGTGATCACCATTCTTTTCTCTACAGGTTGACCGGAGCCGAATCACCAAAACACGAACCTCGCCGGAGAGCCGCCGCACCCGAGAGCGCCGCCGCCGGTAAGCTCCGTTTTTCCATGATTTTTTGGCCCCCCGAGGGCCCTAGGGCTGTTTTCTCACAGGGACCGATGCGAGTATGGCCGAATTCGGCCGAAAACAGCCAACCCGAGGCGACTCGCCGCCGCCAGCGGCGGCGCTGTCGCCGGAGCACGGCGGAGCCGCCGTGCCGGAGTTGCGATTTGGGCCGAAAGAGGCCCTGGGCCTAATTTGGGTTTTTTTTGGAACACGTGCAGGTACCGTTAGTGTGTTTCAGTTTCCCCGGAAAAAATTCAGGGAAAATTAGGGACGGTCTGTAGGCGCACTGTGAATCGTATTTGGATCCTGAAAACAAGTAAGGACCCCTCACCCTATTTCCTATCACGGTATTAAAGTTCAAAATGATAAAACGGTATTTCTTGAATTAACGCATGTGTGAAATTGCTTAAGGTTGCTAATGGAGCCCGAGTCTAGTGTGATTGATGATTTACTGTTATTTGGCCTGTTTTACAGCTTTAAATGCAGTATGAGGTTTGATGTGTTTATTTTATAGTTTCGTGTGCATATATTACGTTTTTATTGGTTATGGGTTGAATGACTGAAAAACTGATACCGTATGTTGTCTGTTTGGCATGAATTACGATTTGCTTGTTTAAAATGTGAATTGATAATGCTTACTGAGGAAGAGGAAAATGAAAGATTGTGTAGACTGATAATTGTATGATGGGGTCAGCCTGACTAGATATCTTGGGAGATGGTGGACGGACCGGGTCCGTAGGGAACCCTACCGGGATTGTGGTCTCCCATACCGGACGGGGTATGGAGATCTTATGTGTTTTGGCGCCCATACCGGACGGGGTATGGGGACGGCCCGTTTCACCCTCATACCGGACGGGGTATTGAGATTTATGGTTTTGGCGCCCATACCGGACGGGGTATGGGGACGGCCCGTTTCACCCTCATACTGGACGGGGTATTGAGGTTTATGGTTTTGGCGCCCATACCGGACGGGGTATGGGGACGGCCCTGGAAACCGATTATGAATGTTAAAGGTTAACGGGTAGCGGGACCCCGATGGACCCCCATGGATACTAGTAGGCTGGTAAAAGAGAAAATGATATGTTGTATAATGATTGAATTACAAAATGCGTGATAAGTGCTATGTTTCACAGCTTATATTATTCCATGATTGTGATGATGTTATTGTTTTCTTATATTGTTTCATGAATTTCACCGAGGTAAGTGGATGGTAAAGGTTTTATCATAAATAAAAAGGATTTGTTGTAAATCATGCTCCATTGGTCTTTTGTGTTTTTCTACCCACCTTTACCTCCGTGACGGTGAGATATCGTGATGATCTTACTGGGCTAGTGTAGCTCACTCCTTATTTAACCATTTCAAATCAGGAAGACATGGTTCCCGAGCCCGTTCCGCAGGAGGAGGACGAAGGGGATGCCTAGAGACTCTGTAGTCATACTCATAGTTTTATTTTCGAGTTTCTCTCTTAGTTAGTTTAATCTTTTATATTTTAAGTACGTTTTTTGTTTTCGTGTAAGGGATGTTA